TGAAAAGAAACCTCTGTGTGCTGTCACCCTGACCCCCGCCAGAGGCCCCTGGCCAGGCCTGGGAGATGACCCAGGCTCCTCGCTTCCCAGCTTCCTGTGCCCCTGTCCTGGATTGGGGGGAGACTGGGGGGTTCTCCTGGGGCAGAAGCAGGGGCTTTCCTGGGGGTTCAGAGAAGGACCCCCTGCAGAGAGCCCTGACCCCTCGGCAGCAGGGCTCCCCCTCCTGAGCCGGGCTCCCCTCGCCTGCCCCCCGCTGCCCGACCTGCCTGCATGTACTGATCCTGGTTCCTCCACACACAGCCTCCTGATCCTGGTTGCTCCACACACAGCCTCCTCACGTCGGCTGAGGCTACGGCAGTGAGCACAGGGCAACGCCAGGCGTGGCACCGCCCCCACCCCGGGGCTTGTTGGGAATGCTGGTTCTCAGGCCCCCCGCCCCGCCCATGCTCCCTGGGTGTCGCAGCTGGGAACGTGTGGACGCCAGCCCCTGAGCAGCCTTGGGTTCGCTCTGCTCCATTCCCCAGGGAGTCCAGGGGCTGCCCAGGGCCTGGAGGGTGGGGGCTGTGGCACGCGCCCACCAGCTGGAAGTGCCGCCGGGGTCTGCCACGAGGTCCCTTGTCGCCGCAGCTGGCATCGCCCCAGCAGACACATCTCCCCAGCTCTGGGCTCTGGGGTGCCCTATGGAAGTGCCACAAGCCGGGGCGCCGCGGTGCCTCTCGGCCCAGGGTCCGGGGGTCTGCTGCAGCGTCTCCCTTTGCAAGCTGGCTCTCGCCTTGGCTGGGGAAGCCACACTCCAACCGCTGTCACCGTCGTGCGGTCGGCACTCCAAGGTCACGCTGCAGGGGACTCCCGACGCCCAAGCCTTGTCCCTTCAGGGGCCAAGGCTGGGACACACCCACTTTGCGTCTGCCCCCACCTCACCGGGCCTGTTGCCGGTTCCCTCGGTGGCCGGCCTTCCGCGATGCAGACACCAGGGCTGGTGGCCAGAGAACCGAGGGGCAGCCTCGGAGTAGGGGGCAGTGGGCTCCACCTGAGAGCCGATTCTGGCCACAGGCTGCTGTCCCTGGCCGGGCTGGGTGCGCCAAGCTCTTTGTCCCCATGCCGTCCTCTGAGCTTTTGAGCTTCGGTCTTGAGAGAGTGCTGGAGCCGGCCAGGCCTTGGTGCTGCAGGGACGGCGGCCTCAGGGAGCCAGGGGAGATGGCGAGGAGCCAACGGCACGTGGCTCCATGTCGCCTGCTGCACTGGCCCGGCCTCCCAGCCCTGCGCCTGCCGCTCTGTGTGCCTCTCCCAGCAGTAGGACACCGACGGGTCCCCATCGCCCTGGGAGCCCCGGCCTTGTCACCCTTCTGGCTTTGGCGTCTGCTCCCCGCTGGGGCAGAGGCTCGCTGTGGGCTGTGGGGTCCCCGCCCTGGAAGGGCTGAGGCTCCTGCCCGCCCCCAGGGACCCTGAGCTCTGGCTGGGAGTGATGTCCCCACCATGGAGGCGGGGGAGGGGCGCTTGCCTGGCACCCTGCAGGGCAAACCCCTGCAAAGAGGGCAGTGCGGGTGCGGGGTGGCGTCTCTACCCCAGGGTCACGCACCAGGGTAGGAAGGAAGTGGCAAGAGAGTAGCCCCTACCGTGGCCTGCAGGGCTTTTTAATTAATTATTTTTTTTAAAGATTATTTATTTATTTATTTGAGAGGTAGAGTTACAGACAGTGAGGGAGAGACAGAGAGAAAGGTCTTCCATCTGCTGGTTTACTCCCCAAATGGCCATAACGGCCGGAGCTGGGCTGATCCGAAGCCAGGAGCCAGGAGCTTCTAGGTCCCTCATGTGGTGCAGGGACACAAGGACTTGGGCCATCTTCCACTGCTTTCCCAGGCCACAGCAGAGAGCTGGACTGGAAGAGGAGCAGCAGGGACCAGAACCGGTGCCCACATGGGATGCCGGCGCCGCAGGTGGAGGATTAACCTACCGCACCACAGCGCCAGCCCCTTTAATTAATTAATTTATTTGAGAGGTAGAGTTACAGGAAGAGACAGAAAGAGAGGTCTTCCATTCGCTGATTTATTCCTTAATGGCTGCAACAGCCAGAACCTGGCCAGTCCGAAGCCAGGAGCCAGGGACTCCTTCTGGGTCTCCCATGCGAGTGCAGGGGCCCAAGCACTCGCGCCATCTTCTGCTGCTTTCCCAGGCCACAGCAGAGACGGATCGGAAGGGGAGTAGCTGGGCCTAGAACAGGCGCCCCTATTGCATGCAGGCCCCACAAACCGTGGTTTCACCGTCCCCTGGCCTGCAGTGTTGTGTCTTTTCTGGAAGCCCTCCCTGGTCTCAGGAGCTGTCACCCTGGCCCTGCCCTGCTCTCCCCTGGGGAATGGGGTGCCCCAAAGCCAGGCCAGGGGCTGCGGGCAGCAGTGGGCAGCACCTGCCCTCTGCCCTTGCGCAGTGCTGGTGAGGCCACCGAGGGCCAGGCACCAGGCAGATGGTCAGAGGCCTCACGGAACACGGCCAGGCCCTGCCCCGGAGCATGGGAGGAGCCCTGGGGCTGGACCCCAAGCCAGAACCTCCCTGCCTGGGCCTTGGCAGCTGCCCTGGGACCCCCAGCCAGGGGTGCAGAGCCCCGCAGGGTCCTGGCAGGCTGGGGGCAGCTCTCACGCCCTGGCCCTCCCCACAGCCTGAGGCTGCCTGGCTCCTGAGGGTAAGCTGCCTGCCCTGGAGGGGCAGGGAGTACAGGGGTGAGTGTAGCCGAGCCGGCGTGGCAGGCAGGACACGGGGGCGGGGGGAGACTGTGTGCACGTCTGTGAATGGAGGCCCCTCCCGTGCCGAGGCTGGGTCTGCACGCGGGGAGCTGAGGGCTCTGACCTGCAGCTCTGAGGGCCTTCGGAGGGAGCCGCACCCGGTGCCGCCAGGAGCAGGTGCGGCAAGGGCAGCCCCGCGGCTGTGCTCAATGACCCTGCCCACCCCGCCCGAGAGCTGGGGGCTCCGGTGCAGCTGGGCCCCGCAGCCTCCAGCCTGGAGCTGGCTCAACCGGGCCCTGCGGCTTCTGACCTGGAGCTGGCTCAGCTGGGCCCCGCAGCTCTGGCCTGGAGCAGCTCAGCCAGAACCCATCATTGCTCACCTACAACTGGATGAGCCGGGCCAGGCCCTGGTTCACCACAAGCCTGAGGTGAGTGCTGGGCTTTGTGCAGTGGTGGTGACCGGGAGGACAGAGCCTCGGGCTGGCCAGGGGGAGGGGGAAGGCGCCCTGAGGGCTGCACAAAACCTTCTGAGTCCGGGCAGGTGTTGTGCGGTCAGGTGGGGGAGCCAGGCCTGGGACAGGCCCTTCCCTGGGACCTCAGAACGGGGACGGCAGGAGGAAGGCACTGGTGACAGGGGCTGGGGGCCTGAGGTGTGGGCTGCGAGGCCCTTGGCTGGTCTGGGGCCCCTGGGCACCTCTGGCCTCTGGTCATTGGATGAGGTTATCCTGCCTTCTAGAGAAACGAGAGGGGCTCCTGGGAGCCAGGGGGATGGGACCTGCAGGTTGGGGAGATGGCCCGGGGGCGCGAGCTGGTGGGGCGGCTGCGCTCTGGGGGCTCAGGGCTGACGGAGGGGGTGACGGGAGGGGGGAGCAGGTGGCGGGGAGGGTGCAGATGGGTGCAGAGTTTGGGGCGTGCTCTGATGTTTTGGGTTAGAAGTAGTGATGGACACAGCTGTGCGAAGGCAGAGTTGTGTGCAGAACTCAATCCCGCAGCGCTGCCCTCGACAAACCAGGAGGTGGCGCTGTGGGCGCGTGGCTGAGGGCGGGCAGGGCCTCAAGGCCCCTCCAGGGTCCCACTGCTGCAGGGCTCTCAGAGGCGAGGCCAGGAGCCCCACCCTGAAGGTCCTGGGCACCCAGGCTGGGGTCGCAGACGGGGCCCCTGGACGTGAGCGAGCAGGAAAGGCTGCGGTCCAGCCCCCAGGACTCCAACCACAGCTCTGAGAGGGGGCCCCCGACCTGGCCGCAGGGAGGCTGGGAAGGAGCCGCCGCCATCCCGAGGGTGTCCACCAGAGGGCGCGCTGAGGAGCAGGTGCTGCCCTTGGTGACCAGGAGCTCCCTGAGCAGCCTGGCCCGGCCCCTGTGGACAGTAGGTCTCTGAGAGGCAGTGACAGAGCGCGAGCGGGAGGCCTTCCATCCACTGGTTCACTGCCCGCATGGCTGAAACAGCGGGGACTGGGCCAGGGTGAAGCCAGGATCCCAGAACTCCATCTGGGTGTCCACGTGGGTGCAGGGCCCGTGCACTGGGGCCTCCTCTGCTGCTGTCCCAGGCGCGCAGCAGGGAGCTGGATCGGCCTGGTTGCTGTGGCCATCTGCGGAGTGAACCAGGGATAGAACGTCTCTGTCTCTAACGCTGAACTTCCAACAAATAAAAAAATTCTGTATTCAAACCCAAAAGAGCAGGAATCTGGATCGGAGCAGAGCCGCAGACTTGAATCAGCATTATTATGGGATGCTGGAAGCCACGCTGGGCTTAACCCTCTGGTGCACAGTGCCAGCACTAGCAACTCAGTCTGCAACCTCCGGGTCGGGGACTGGGGTCCAGGGGCTCTGAGATCTGGCCGCTGCCCCTGGACTGTTCCGAGCAGACATGGAGGCTCCTGGGAGCTGGTTTCACAGGAGGCTTCGCGCTGTGGCCGGCACAGCCCCGCAGGGTTCAGAGGAGACCACAGGGTCAGTGGGGGAGCCGTGACCAGCTCGGGATGGGAGCAGGAAGTGGCCTCACGGGCCTGGCTCTGTGACAGGCACAGGACGGGCATCCTGGGGGACGCAGGCTGTGGAGGAAGTGGCTGTGTGAGGGAGGGGAGCACCCGGAGCCCAGTGACTGGGCGACTCCGGGGCAGGGCTGGGTGTCGGGGAGGCCACCAAGGCGAGGCAGCCCCCAGGTTCATGTCCGTCCTGCAGCGTCCAGCCAGATACCCATGGACACTGGGCCGTCCTCTGAGACCAGGCTGGCCCTGTGAATTAATGTGAACGTCCAAGGGAGGAGAAACCGGGCTCCTCCTGGACCCGCGCTGAGTTCTAGGTGCCCGGCACCAGCCAAGACGACCGGGCTCAGCAGCCACAGGGGGAGTTCGGCTCGGGAAGCAGGCAGCCCAGCGGCCGTCACTCCCTGCTAGACCTGCGTGCACACCCCGCCCTGCACCGGGACCGACCGAGACTGCCCTGCCGTGGCAGCAGAACCTGCACGGTCCCTCCCCCTAGCCGTGGCCGCTCACTGGGCCTGCGCGGTCCCACAGACGCCTCGGGCTGTGGTGCTGTCTGTGGCTGCAGGGCCCTAGCCTGGCCTTGGCCGTGAGTGGTGAACTCAGCCTTGGGTCCGGGTGCCGAGTGGCAGGGGCGCTGCTGCCCCTGTGCTGGCCACACCGGCGAGGGGCAGGCAGCCCGCACGCTGGGGGCCCTCTCACCGTGGGTGTCTGCTGGGGCCCTGTGGTGACAGCCATGGCGTCTGGGTCATGGGCAGCTGGTGAGGGGCAGTCACCTGTCCAGGATGGTGGCCAGGACCTCGGGGACCCTGTGCTTGGGCTGCCCTTCCTCTGCAGGGCATTCAGGGCCTTGGTGGAAGGCGGGGCCAGGCTGTACTGCACTGAGGGGTGGGGCCGGCCCCTCAGCACTGCTCCCATGGGGGCAGAGACACAGAGGCTCCCCTTCCCCAGTGACCCAGAGCTGACTCCTCGGGGCCTCTCCAGGGTCCAGGTCCCCTCAGCCGCTCACGGTCCAGGTGACCCCAGCATAGGGGACCTCCCCTGAGTGCTACCCAGCCAAACCCTGTGCTGAGCCACATGGAGGCTGGGGCTTCGTGGGACCCGAGCTGTCGCCCAGGGAGTGTGGCCATGGCAGCTGCACACGGTGAGGTCATGTAGTCTTTATTGGGGGAGGGGACAGAGGGGGCGTGGGGGCACCAGCATCACTGCCCCCCCGCGGGCGGACAGCTCCACAGCCAGCTTGCCGGGGCGGAGCCTGCCACACACAGTGCCCGCTGCTCCCTCTCCCATGACAGGGTGGGCACGGGGACCCGCTGTCCAGGCAGGGCCCTGAGTGCCCGTGGTGCCAGCTTGGCCCCATGAAGGCTCCCTCGGCACTTCCCCACCCAGCTCTCCCCTGGCTTCAGATGAACCTGGGCGTCCCAGGCAGCTGTGACGGCCATGGTGGGGTGTGCAGCGCCCGCGACCTGCCCACAGCTGCGCTCAGGCCCCCGCGGCAGCGCCACCTGGCGGGGAACCCGGTCACAGGCAGAGTCCTGTCCACGGCTGTGCTCAGGCCCCTGCAGCGCCACCTGGCGGGGGATGCGGTCACAGGCAGAGTCCTGTCCACGGCTGTGCTCAGGTCCCTGCAGCGCCACCTGGCGGGGATCCGATCACAGGCAGAGTCCCGTCCACGGCTGTGCTCAGGCCCCCGCGGCAGCGCCACCTGGCGGGGGATGCGGTCACAGGCAGAGTCCCGTCCACGGCTGTGCTCAGGCCCCGCGGCAGCGCCACCTGGCGGGGGATGCGGTCACAGGCAGAGCCAGGAGCAGGGCGCAGGCAGGGCAGCACCCAGAGGGCGTGGTGGGGCCGCTGCTGACTGGGCTGGGCCATTATGGATGGGGCTGGCTGCAGCCTGGCGCAGGAGCGTCGCCCGGGAGGCCCCTGGGCTCCTGTGGGGAGTCTGGTGCGGTGTGCAGGGGTCTGTAGCGCAGTGGAATGGTCTGTGGTGTGGTCGCCGTGTGGTGGGTGGTGGTCTCTGGCGAGCTGCGCAGGGGTCCGTAGCGCAGAATGGGATGGTCTGTGTCGTTCGAGTGCAGCGTGGCGGTCTCTGGCGTGGCGCGCACTGGGCTCTGGGGTGGCTCAGCGGCCTCTGCACCGAGTTGGCTGAGGGGAAGCAGGCCGCCCCTGCTGGGAGGACCCCGGGCGAGGCGTCTGCACACGGTGCTGCTTCGGAGCTGCCACTCGCTCAGGTGTGCAGGCCACCTGCCCCGCCCTGCCGAGAGCCCTGGCTGGCGGTGCGCAGGCTGCGGGTGCCGGGAGGGGCGGGGTCCCACGCAGCAGGAGGGGCCTCACTGGGACTCGCCGTCGGGCTGTGGGTCGCTGGTGCTCCTGGTTAGAAAGACACAGCGATCACTGGCCGGTTCAGCCAGGTGGGGTCCCCCGGCCTGGACACGAGCTCGGCCAGCCGCTGGCACGCGCGTCCCGGAGGCGCCCCCCGCAGGCGTGGAGCGCGCTCTGGGGAAACAGCCAGCCGTGAGATCCAGCTCTGGCGCGGGCTCCCCGGCTTCTGCTGTGCTGGGCTGGGCTGGCAGCGACGCTGTGTCCTCACCGCAGGGGGCCCTGACGCTCCTGCCCCCACGGTGGCCTCGTGGGTGGCTGCCCGCTGACGGGCAGCGTGAGGAGGTGACCGCGGGGGGAACCAGTTAGAGTCACTGTGACTTTTTTTTTTTGCCATTTTCTCTCAAGCTCTTCTCTTTACCAAAACAGAGCGTTGAGGCCGGCGGTGGCGGGGCAGATTAAACTCCACCCGGGACCCCAGCCTCCATCTGGCCGCTCTGCGCCCCACGCAGCTCCCGGCTGTGGCTGTCACGGCAGCGGAGGACAGCGCCGGTGCTCAGGGCTCTGCACCCACC